CTTGTTTTACCATTTTTGTGTCGGGCGTCGCTTAGAAAGAAATAAAAATCCGGGGGCTTTCCACAATTTTCGCAAGAGCGAATACTATCCACCCCTGAGGAAGACAAAGGGGATATGGAGGGATTCTATTGGTGTAAGTGGGTGGTTGCAATGGACAAAGAAGTTAGCCAGTAGGCTAACTAACGACAACCCAAGAGAGACCCTATAGTTACCCCATCATTTCCTCCCTTAGTCTATAAGAACCACTCGTATCAACCAGTAGGATAGCTCGATTCTCCCTGTGTCTTCTTTGTCTATCGCTTTGTCTACACTGAAAAAAAATTCTCGGCGTTTTTACCAAGGTCAGTTTGTACCTTTACCATCTCACTTTTTTTACCAATTATTGGTAATTTTACCAAGACAGACTGGTAAGCTTACCTAAAGACTGGTATTCGTAATGTTTTTTTCAGGTAAGAATACCACTTTTATTGGTAATCAATTCCCGGTAACTTTGCCATTTCATCTCGGTAATCCTACCACAGTCGATAAAAAATACTGGCTTTTTTACCAAGGTCCAGTAAAATTACCGAGAAAGTTCAATAATTTTACAATTACCAATTCCATAAATGGTAATTTTACCAAGAAAAAACTGGGAACAAAATAATAGAACCCTGAATTCTTGGTAATTTTACCCTTTTCTTAGTAAAAACACCAAGATTTTTTTTTTCAGTGTATAGATTCCAATTATGAGCCCGCTGAACATTATGAAAACAACGACGAGGACTTACTGGAGCAGGGGGCAAGGCCTGGCGGGTGCTATCCAGATCGGGTTGGTGGTTTGTTGTTACACTGTGCACGATCGCGGGTCGCGGTTTGAGCGTCGGGTTCGCGGTTTGAGCGTCGGGTTCGCGGTTTGCGAGGCGCCGCCAGACGTGTGGCGTCGGCGGTTGCAGCGAGACTGGTCAGCGCCGATCACGATTTTTCTAAATCCATCATCTGGGTCAGTAAAAAGCGAGAGTGGGGGCGGCAGCGGCACCGTCTTCCGATGCCTCCGCCAAACGTCGCCGCGACTCAAACCACAATTTTTCAGTTTGAAGGAGAGGAATCAGCGATTAGACCGCGGGTAGGATGGGGGGCTTATCATGGCTCTTTCATAAACAAAATCGAGGGGATAATTTTTATTTTTGAAAAAAAAAAAAAAAGTCTTTCCTGATTTGTCAGGGCTATGGTAACCTAGTAAAATTCCCCAATAAAGGATGAAAATACCATCAAGACTAGAGGAGCTAAGCCCAAAATTATCTTATTTAAAAAAAAAAAAAAAAAAAAAAAAAAAAAAAAAAAAAAATTAAAAAAAAAAACAAAAAATGTCGAAGGTGATTCGAGGTTGCCCAAACAAGTTTTGATTGGGTGCCACCAGGAAAAATGCGACGGGGACGTCCCCTACAGCGGCCCGATTATTGAGACTATGTCAGCTCGATACGACAAGACATGGCCCTATCTTAACCATGCAATATATCGCAATTCGTGTCTTATCGGGCTGCTTTAAACTTTCAATAATTGACCCGCGGCGGGGGAAAACGTCATCGACAGTGATTTATTACCAATTATCTGGCTGCGATCTTAGGGATCTCTTTTACTCTCTCTCTTACTCTTTTCTTTAACTGAACAATTCGCCTTCAGCTGCGTTCTGCAGCAATTGTTATTACGAATATTGTGCGGACTGATTACAGTTGATTACATACTTGCCTCTCTGAAGGCGTTTTATGTGTGAAAGCAATTCGCCTTCTGGTGCGTCTGCGGCAATTGTTGTTACGAGTATGCGGTGCGTGCTGGTTTCAGGTAGTTACATACTCGACTCTTTGAAGGCGTTTAGTGTGCGAGAGCAATTCGCCAGTTCTCCAACAGGGTACGCCACTTGCGCACATAAAACGCCTTCAGAGAGTCGAGTATGTAATGACCTGAAACCAGCACGCACAACACATTCATAACAACAATTGCTGCAGACGCAGCTGAAGGCGAATTGCTCTCGCACATAAAACGCCTTCAGAGATTCGTGTATGTAATGACCTGAAACCAGCACGCACAACATATTCGTAACAACAATTGCCGCAGACGCAGCTGAAGGCGAATTGTTCAGTTAAAAAAAAGAGATCATAAAATGCAGTCTGCATGTAACAAGAGGGTATGCATGTATTCGACCGACGTGAATCGGACAAAAAATAAAATTATGAACCGATCAACACTGATTTATTGGACAAATGAATAAAAAAAGCTGATCAAAATCAGTGGAAAACTTGCATTTACTATGAAATTTTCAAATCAATTTTTAGCGCGCAAGAACACCTATAAGCGAAGCATTGAAGAGAATCTCAAGAGAAATTTTTCGAAAACCGACCGATTTCATCTCGCTGAAACTTCAAAAATCTTAAGTTCAGAGCACCAAAATTCTAGTGCAAACATTGAACCTAAAAAAACTGACCAAAATTTATTAAAAACTAGACGTACTAGGACAGCACTTCCCATTTAGGTAGATAATCGTAATTTCGAACGGTCAGGCCGGATGGATAGTCGATTTTCGGCTGTGCAAGTGGCAACGTTCGTCATGGGTCATGGGTCAAGTACCCTTATCAAAGCTCCTGAGAATGGACCACTAGACAAGGTACGAATTTAAGCGATCTGATACATGTTTCTTAACCAGAATTTCACGTAGAAAACGATTCACACAACGAACATTACGGAAACCAACTCCTAACGAAGATATTAACGTTTTTATTTCACATTGGTTACGAGGAATTTGAACTGCCCGCTCACAAGAAACTCAAAACTCTACGTGAGTCAAATCGCCCACTACAACGGTTTCAGCAAGCTTCTCAATCGAGCAATGTTCATTTCCCATCATGTGTTGTTCAAACTATTAGCAATTTGCTACAACTGAGCCAAAGCGTCAAGATTGAGGTTGCCAGATTTTTATAGCGCAGAGACTGTCATGATAACGTTTAGCGCGCGATGTGAATCACGTGGAGCATTGAGTTTTCATGAGCGGGTGGTCTGAATTCACGCATTAGGAATCATTAAATATCTTCGTAAGGAGTTAATTTCGGTAATTTTCGTTGTGTGCATCGTGTTTTACGTAAAATTTTGGTTAAGAAACATGTATCAGAATGCTGAAATTCGTACCGTATCTAGTGGTCCATTGCTTTTTAAATTCTCACTCATTTTCAAGGGATTTTGCAGAGAACGAAATACCTGGGTTCAGGGCTGGATTATCCTACTTGCCGCCCATGGGCCGCCTGTATTTTGCCGCCCCTTCTCATTCGTTTCGAAACATCAATAAAAACCATCAAGTGAACGTGCCAGCGGGGAAGGGGTGCATAAGACGCGTTTACTAGTGTTAAACACATTTTTTGTGAAAGCCCTGTCAACACTACTAGCAAAAGGTCACGGAACTTTGCGCGAAAATCAAGTTTCGTAAACCTATCTCTAATGGACAAGGCCTTCCATTCATAAGAAATGAACGAACAAATTATGAAAGAACAAACACAAAATTTGGTTTAATGATTTTAACTTCCGCCGCCGCGCCGACCGCACCGTGTTTGGCGCAATGCGTGAAGTATTCACGCAGTCTTGTAGGCGCTATGCGTTTCACGCTGACCGCACTGTGTTTGGCGCAATGCGTGAAGTATTCGTGCAGTCTTGTAGGCGCTAACCGTTTCACGCTGACTACAATAACCGCACTGTGTTTGATGCAATGCGTGAAGTATTCGTGTAGTCTTGTAGGCGCTAATATGTGTTACATGCCGACTGCCACGCCGAGGGCTTCTCTTTTTCATCTCAAGTCCTCGTCATCATTTCTCCCTAAGTTGCGTCGTTCCAGGCTATATTGTGTGTTTGGTTTCTCTCTTAACTCGACTAATTAAAGGTGTTGTCTCTTGTATCAATGAAAGACGACAAAATTAGAAAATACTATACTCTCAGGAAATGAGAGATTTTGTAGCCTTTTCTCGTTTATAATTATTTTTTCTAAATCCGAATTTTTTTATACCTATACATTTAAAAAAATTGCAAAATTTGCCGCCCCCTAGATTTTTGCCCCCCTTAATCCGGCCCTGCCTGGGTTACCCTAGAGTTATCAGTTTCCGGCTAACTGAATTTACATGCTTTTTTTTACTAAAAAATTTTTGAACGCCATCAGCTGTAAGGGCTCGGAGGGCTTTCAAGGCACACGAAAAGAAACAAGAACAAGAGCAAAAACTCGAGCCTTTGTGGCTCGTGTCTCTAAAGAAAAAGAGGAGATGGAAAAAATAACTAACCGGAAGAAAGAAACAGCTTGGCAGCAACTATGCCAACTCCTAAGCTACATTACATAGCTACATGGAAAAAAGGGACAGAAACCTTTAAAACAGGATTGGAAACAGAAGTTTGCATCTTTCTTGAGGGGCCACACGGGTCTTGACTTGAAATCTAATGATTGGCTCACTTTCCCTCTCACTTCCAGGGATGCTGGCCCCTCTTTAGGTAGGAAATACAAAAGGGATGTCAGGGCTGTTACTGTCATGAGTGTCATCCGTCAGCTTCAAAATAAAACAACCAAGACCAATCCACACAGGTCAGTCATTGCGCAGCTTTTTTGAAATCCACTCCCCCGCCCCGCCCGGCCCTTACTCGCAGCACTCAATGCTACGTCACAATGGGTGCTCCCATAAGAAATACATTGCAGGCACTCAATACTACGTCACTGCGCAGTAGAGTACCAAACCTCGTCCTCGGGGATGACTGACCTGTGTGGATTGGTCTTGAAAACAACAGAACCCAACAAGGTGGGGGGATGACCATGCTCCCTGCCATATGCAGGAGTTGTTCATACAATCTATTTCTAGTTTAATAGACTGTGCTGAGTGCTGAGCCTTGTGGAAATGTGTCCAAAAAGTGCCTGAAAATGCAAAATTCTTTTCTTGACTTCACTGAAAGATTAAAAATTACATTTGTTAAAAGACAGAAAAATTTAGTAATTAGGCACATACCTAAATTCTGATGAAAAGGAGCATACATCCAGTATCCCCGTAGATAATCCAAATATGTTTCAACTTTAACCACTTGTCGCACTAGGAATGGGTAATAAATAATCCAGATATGTTCTTGATACGGTGACCACTTGTTGCACTCCCGATCGCACAATATTACATTCAAGGCACAAAATAAGACTGAGACGAAAAATTGGAAGTTGAGCAAGTAGTATAATTATTTCACTAGCTATTTATCACAAATGGCAACAATCAAAGGCACTTGGGTCATGTGATATTGAAAGGATTATGGCATTTGGGAAGTAAGATTTGCAGTACTTAGATCTCCATGACAGCTGCATGACAACTATCGTTTAGAAAAGTGAGTAAACAAAATTAATGTCGAAAAGTCGAAGCACTATGGAGAGAGAACCGCAGCTGCATTCAGTAAAAAACATCGCGATAATTTCAAAGGTGGAAAAGTGGCGAGGTATCAGTTGTTGGCCGTGATAAATGCGAGGTGCTGACTGATAAATAATTCTGATTGAGCACACATTGATTCTTGATTAAATCAGTTCCATTCTCAGATTGTGGAGAAGCAGCTAAGCAGATGGTGAGCTCCCGCACTACCACTGAGACTCCAGCAGGTAACAAATACACGGTGACATAATATCAACCATATGCAATCACAGGTATTACGATCGACGCTACGAAAAACTAAGCAACATGCTCGCACGCGGGACTACGTGAGGAAGAATACTAAAGCTAAACAACCACGGAAACACTGTAATGCGCGAGAAATCAATTCGCCGTTCTACTGTTGATGTTATTTATGTTAACTACACAAGTACACAAAACAAAAGTGAATGATCATAAATTACTCAAACAACCATCCATGAGCAAGCCATCTTTACTGATAAGACGATCTAAACAAAGAAAAAAATGAAAACATTGAAAAAGCTTTAATTTTCTTAGAAATACGGCAACAGCAACCAACGTTGAGCTTATTTGCAGCATCCATCAGTATTTACAAGCGTCACAGAATATATAGGCTTCACCAACAGAAGGCGCACTCCCAGCGTATCTCGGTCGATGAAGAAGAACAAACCCAGAAAGTAATGTTTACATTGTGAACCTAACCTAACTCGAGGTTCTGCTGACTTTGTCCTCCCTCGTGCGTGCTAGGAGAATGAGCATGAGGATTTTTGAAAATGACGAACGAACAGTTTAATTATAATTGTTAACGCGAAACTTTTCTTTTGTTGTATGATCTTGATAATTTCTAATTTAAAGTTGCAGTTATGTTTTCTTCATCTGTTGTCTTTGTGGTTAAGTTGGTTACCCTAAAATGTGAAGTGATGTAGTTCGTTTTTAGGCCAGTATCTCTTGCTACGAGGAGAAGCCCTAAGGTATGTGTTACCCAAATTTGATTACCATGTTATTATTTTTCATCAAACTTGGTTCCTGAAAAAACCTTACGCTATTGTCAGTGGACGAATACACTCCCAAATGGGTTTTTATCCTTAAGAAGATTTGTCAAGCTCCAGTGACGTGCTCGAACTGGCATGCGTTATATTGCATCGATTAGGTTAAAAATCTCGGCAGATTTGGAATTTTTAGCACAAAAAAGGACGTAAGCCTCTAAGCGTGAGCCTAAAGAATCATTCTGAACCCAAAAATCGACATAATTCAGAGAAATGAAAGCAGCATAAGGTTTGGAAGGAACCTTGCATTTGACACAGAAATCGGTAGCTGAATTGAATGCGAGGTTGTTTTCCGAACACTATTCTACCGTCATTTCTGTTTGATGAAGATTCTGGCAATTTAACCTGGGAAATGTCAATCACTCTCAACCTTTCCAGATGTAATCAACTCTCTCTAGTGAATTAAGGGTTCATTATGAAGGGACCAGTGTATCACCGCATGGCTTGCACAAGCCCTGTAGGTACTTATTTTCTCTGGTTGTTGAAAGTAACCACTGTTGCCTCCAAGTTGTTCCTTATCAGTCTTTATGATCACATCCTACCATGCAACTGTGATTAATAATGTAGATGATACTTTAAGTTCAGAATAGGAATCATGTCAAAGGAGATACTAATTTGTACCTAATTAATGTTTTCAGATGGCTACAAAGAGGCAGGCAGCACTAAGTCAACTTGCTAGAATGTAAAGTAATATCCCTATCTCCTAGCAGCTCTCTAGGAAAGTGAAGACTTACGGTAAGTGTGTCACAGTTTGTATTCAACATTTTCTGCAGTACACATCAAGAAAATAAAATATTTTGGTCCTTGATCTTGGCATATAAATTCAAGTAAGTACAAGCAACTTCAATGAAACTTGTACTTACATTTAAGAAGCAGTCATTCTGCCTACTTTAAACGCTAATTATTGGGAGCTTGGTGGATTTGTAATCTCATGTGGAAAGCCCTAGACACACTTGCATCCAAGGCTTGTCCTTCAGATAAATACTTCTACATTTTGTGACACTGTTTTACATGGACTCAGTGCCCAACACTGTAAGTATCCTAATCAGATTTGGTGGAAAGAGATTCTGCACTACTGTCACTGAACTACATTGATCACCATCATTAATTACTGCCCTCAAGGCTTCCTTCAATATTTTTGAAACCTACTACAATTGAGGTACTGCATCAATTCAGGATTTCTTGAAGCAACCAACCCATTTATTGTTACTAGTTACTGCAAAACCGCTCTTCACTAGTGTAATAGTTTTTTGTGTACATAAACCATGACGCAAATTGAAACACAAGTTCACCAACTGTATACCCTCAAGTTTCAGGAAGTAGCAGAAGAAGTTATAAAATTATATTGCAGTATCCTATGATGTGAAACGTATTGCTCATTGTGCATTTGTTAAATTTCCTCTTCTAATACTAATGTTTACTCGAACTTTCCTCACAGATGGCTGAACAGATTCAGTGTGCGCAAAAGAAAAGAGGTGGTAGATGGTGCTCTGTCCAGGGTTGCTTAAGTGGCTCAGTGAAGGATCCGGACCTACAATTCTTTAGGTTTCCAAAGGATTTTGAAAGGTAATAAAATCTACTTCTTTCAGACCCTTTAATTCATCATTGCCATCAAATATATAGTTTAGATGATTGCAAGGGATCACCCTTTAAAGGAAAAAAGAAAACAGCCACTTGGCCACTTTTCATTGAAGGAGAACCATGTTTGTCGGACAAAATTACGGAAAATGTCTTGAAAAGTGACTGAAACTTATCCAAGGAGTGCTTGAAAAGTATATACCCTCGTGAACTTGAGGCCGCATGGATGATGCTATATCATCCATTACAAAATAAAATTTTTGCCTCTGGCTTACTTTCCAGGAATATTAGGAACAATTAGTCACTTCCAATGGCTGTCATTCAGAGGACAAGTGTCCTGGTGTCTGTAAATTCATTGTCTTTTGCAGTCATGAACAGGTATGAAAATCATAACGGAAGTGGGTGTGTACATTAGTCTACAGGTGGAAAAATTCCTCATGAGAATCAATGTAAATATCTGCCACCTGCCAACTATAGCAAGCGGACCCTATTATTTTCCAATGCAATTAGTTCATTATTTCAAAACCTGGTCCAAGCAGATTATTAAGGGGCTGTACATCAGTAAGACACCAAAGATGCTAACAGGAGAGTCTGGATGATGTGTTCATTTCTTGAAAAGATAAAATCGTTGCAACGACCGGCACATTTTGTCTCTTTGCTTGTCCATTCGTTCTTGAAGTGACTTTGATCCAATTACATTTGTGAGTAGACACCTTCAATTTTGAGCACTTGTAAAAGCATTTGCAGCATAAATTTAGTCAATATTCTTTTGGCTAAGTTAATACGACAGTTTTTTTGGTGACATCTCATATACTTATCAAAAGTATCAAATTGATTTATTTTATTATTATTTTTATTTTACACATTTTGTGTATGTACATGAAAGCTGATCGGCTATGATACAGGTCATTAATGATTTTGAACAGTAAGAAAAACAGATTGATTCTATTAAAAACTTACTGAGACACCTTGAAATTACATCAATTTACGAAGCATACTACAGATCAGTGATTAATTAAGTTTTCAGCAATGTTCAGGGGGCATTTAAAAATTCATCTAAGTTACAGAAGAGCCTCCTGGAGGAAGAGTTGTTCTACACCCTGTAGGAATGATGCAAAGTCTGCATCCTTGAACAAAAGCCTCAAATTTAAGGGGAATGCATTGATGTGAATTTGGTGTTAGGCTTTGATGCTTTAAGGGCAGTTTTGATGTTTTCAATATTATTATTCGTAGATTTAGTTGTATTAATTTTATAAATTTGTTGCTCAAACTGGACATATTATTTAACAACACATATGTTATCCTGTTTCAGACTCTCTATATGGATAGAAAAAACGAAACGGTATGATCTTCGACTTAAACCACCGCGGTACCCGTACAATAATTGCAAAGTATGCAGCAAGCATTTTGACGAGTCCATGTTTTATACATATGATAGAGCTGGAAATAGACGCCTCAAGTCCGATGCCATCCCAACTAAATTCATTTTTAATCAATCGATGTCTTCTTCAATCTCAAGAACCACCCCGGACGCTTCCATTGTAGCAGATATCGACAGTGAGTCTACCACTATTTCTTTGAATACCAGCCCTACGAACAATCCACTTAGCTCAGAAGTTAATTTTGATGTGCATTCATTCTCCAGCGAACAGCACGCATCTATTGATATCGACTGTGATTCATCATTTTCTCCCCATCTTACATCAACTGCTCTCCGTAATCCTTCTCCCCTCAGTTGCACCATCTCTAGAAAGAGGAAACTATCATTTCATGTAGATTGTTCAGCTTCAAAGAAGCTGAACCACTTGGACAATACCAGCACTTCGTCTTCATCCAGCAATAGTGATGCTGATCATCCATCCGTCGAAGTCCGGAAAAACTCAACCCTCCCAACCAGCTTGTCTCCTTCTTCACTTCATAGTAGTGCTGTACCATCATCAGTCTTTTCTTCTCCCAATAGCAATAGCGATAGTGGCTTCGGAGCCACTCCATGTTCCGAAAAAAAATTTTGTGATGCTGCAACGCAGACAGAAGAATCTCTTTCCTCAAATACTCCCAGGAAGAAAAAATTGAGAAAAGAAAATGTAATAAATAAACGCCAAATCAAATATAGAAATAAGAAAATTCTCAAAATGGAAGCTTCAGCCAAAAAAGTAGAAAACACTCTAGCCCAGTTCGATTCTCTTTGTGATAAATTTCTTCCCAGACCTTTTTCAGCATTAGTCCAAGAACAAGCACGACTTTTTAGGCGGAACGATCAGAAACCGAAGGACAAAAAAGCAAAAGGCCGCAGGTACTCTATGCAGTTAAAAAAGTTTGCACTGGCAACCTTGTATATGAGTCCAAAAGCATATAAGCTTTTAAAGCAAATCATGACTTTGCCTTCGGTCTGCTGTCTGCGCAGGATGACTCAGAAATGGGAAATCAAGCCAGGTTTTAACGATAACATTTTTGCTGTCCTCAAAACCAAAGTTGCTGCCATGTCACAAGATGATCGTATGTGCGTTTTAGGTGCTGATGAAATAAGTTTGCAGTCGAACTTATTTTATGATCACACTAAAGATGAAATCGTAGGCTTCCATGATATAGGCATGATCAAAAGTTTTCGAACTGCAACCCATGCACTAGTCCTGATGACCTCTGGGATCAAGCAGAAATGGAAGCAACCACTCGCTTTTTTCTTTGTCAGCAATACTTGCTCAGCTTATGAGTTGAAAGAAATAGTTGAGACAGCTATTAAGAAGCTTGCAGAAATAGGTCTACAGGTCAAGGTCTATGTTACAGATCTAGGATCAAATTTTGCAAAACATGCAAAATTGCTCGGAGTAACTAATCTAGACCCTTTCTTCCA